TTAGTCTATAATAAATGTCCGAAAGGTGAAATGGAAGAAACGTGATGGAGGAAATTCCTTAGATATAAATGATTAGGAGTCTTAAGTGAAACGAACCTGTACCAGGTTTGATAACATGTATGTTGATGGTACATTAAACAAATATATAAAAGTAATCTCTGAATGGTTATTTAAATGCTGCAAAGAAATTTCTTTTTTAAGTATTTACAAGGCATTAGAGAACACATGCTAACTTAAAAAAAATCTAAATTATTTGTTATAATTGGATACTCGGATTCAGACTTTTGCTCATAATGTCTAAAGGAGCAAAATTATGGAAAGGTGGAACAAAAGTCCATCATCGCGACTTCCACGGTGTAGGGTTGAGTTTGTGGATGCTTTGAGGCCACAAGTCAAATTTAGGGCTACGGTGCTTTATCTTAGGACTTGGAAATGTCGACATCTTGTCCAAGCCGCTAAGAAATTATCGACGTATCGTAGCAATAATATTTCAAGGAATGACAAGTATTCAAAGGGTGTGAATCACATAAAATTAAAATACTTGGTCGTAAAAATAGAAGTGACGAACTAAAGTGTCATTTGAGCATTCTAGTACTAATTGCATGAAAGTGGATCCATTAAGGGGTTATTCCCTACAGCCTTTGCAACGCATATAAAGAAAATCATAAATAACAAATGGGGCCTTGTTGGACTGACCGATACTGAATAAAATTGTTCAATTAATGATTTCGACACTTATTGAATTCGATTAAAGATGTTTGGTTCTTCACATATAATATCATCATTATGGTTATTTATTTTATGGTATATACATAAAAGGTAGATGGCTTATGGTTATGGTACGAATAGTTTGTTCCATACTAAAGTAAAGTTGAATTAGAAATTATTTGTGGTACATGGAAGGGATCATGTCGCTCGAAGACTTGTGACCGCCATAACTCGGTTAATTTCTATTTTAATTTTAAACTTATAGATATATGTCTTTCCGTCTTTTTAACAGCGCCATAAAAGTTTGATGAAAGGTGCGCGCTTAAAGTAGTTCTTTGAGTTTCGATATATGGTCCAAGTGGGAGAATGTAATAATATTTTATATTATTCTATTATTGTGGACCATATAATTAGTTGGACCTAATTGAATTAATAGTCAAACTTAATTAAGATGAATATGTATTTAATGGATTATTAATGTTCTAATATTAAAGAGTCCAATTTGTGATGTTTGACTTGGACAGTAAGTTAGGTTAGAACTTGGGGAATGTTAGTAGGAATAGGTTTGTAGGTCTCCTCTTATATATACTACATGTCCCTCTCTCCCATCTCATACGAAATAAAGTTCTCAACATCAAGGGCTTTATGGAAAGACGAGAGACGCGGGAGAGAGAAACAATTCATATTCATAGGCAAAGACAGATCCATCATACAATTCATATTCAGAGGCAAAGACAGATCCATCATCCATCATTGGAGATTATGAGGAAGAGGATCACAGATCAACATCATAGATCAAGAAATCATGGAAGGACTATAAGCTGGATTCTTGTAAGTTCTATGTGCAATTTAATTTATGCAAAAATCCATATTCTATGAATTGAAGAATTACATACTTAGGGTTTATTCAATTTTGCCTGATAGTTATGAGTATGCCCGTTAAATTTCTTACATATTCCTCCATATATTCAAATAGTTTCATAGTTAAGTACAATAATTTTTGTGCACGGAAAAGAGGAGAAAGGGGAAACACAATTGATCATTTTAAAAAAAAAAAAAAATTAAAAAACAAATGAAAAAAAAGTACAGCAATTTTCGAGAGTCGACGTCATCTGTGGTCCGTACGGCACATTGGTCAAAGTTCATGTTGTTACAAATTTTGGTGATTTTAGAAGAGAAAATAAAATAAAATAAAATATATTCCATTCTTTAAATATTTGTCTCCAGTGAAAACTTAAAGAAGCAATTTTTAATACTGTCACTCACTTGTATACCATTTTAAAATTGTATGCATGTAAAAGTGGAATGGCTCACACCCCCTTAAATATTATTTTGTAATTTAATAAATTTTTATCATATATATTATAGGAATTAACAAACGGTTAAGTAGTAACACCTTATGAAAAAATATACTCTGATCAAGTGTTAAGGATATGCCTGTTTACCAAATAATTCATTTAAAATGAGTTATTTTAGTTAATTAGAGTTAATTTTGAAATAAATAGGTATAGTCAGTTGTTAGTGGAATTTCAGAATTTATTAAAATAATATTTAAAATAAAATAATTAATATCGATTTGATGTAAAATTATGAGATAAATGATTGAAAATGATATGTTGTTCAAATTATGTGAATAGATGAATATTGAATTAAAGTTGATGTGATGTGTAAGAATAATTGATTTGTACTATTTAATTATATGAATAATATTAAAGATAATGAGGTTGAGTTAAATGTTGGGTTAAATTTTGAGTATTAATTAAATGTAAGTAAATTATTTAGTAAACAAGCATGCCCTAAACGATTCAAACCATATAACTATCTTTATCCTCAACTCAATCTAATAATTAAAATTATTAATAGTTTATCCTGTAGTTCACAAATAACATAAAAAATAATTTAAATTTTGAATATAAAAAGAACAGTTAGAATAAAAAATTAATATTATTTATCATATTTATAATCGCATTGTTACTACTTACTCTTAGCTAAAATTTTAGATTTTAATAAAAAAGTATAATTGAGGAATTTATCATATGTTAGTGATTATTATATGAATATAATGAACAATATAATTTTATATATACCTTGAGTATCATAATAATAATAATCATAAGAGTATCACCAAAGTAAATATATATATATATATATATATATATATGTTTGTGTGTGTGTGTGTGTGTGTGTGTGTCTGTGTGTGTGTGTGTGTTTAATTTCTATTTACAATTGATTTTTGTTATTGTTCTAGGAGTGATAAATTAATTAAAAATTTATAATTAAAGTCATAATGATTTTAAAAAATTAATATTTACCATACAATTGTAAAAATATGAAACCAATTAAAAATTAAAATTTCAAAAACAAGAATAAAATAAAATTAATTAAACAAGTTACAAACATTTCGAATGAAATATGACATCAGTTACCGTTACGAAATTAAAGTTACATGACAATAACGTGAATTGAAGGAATTGAAAAGCTTACATGACAATAACTAAAATGACATAAATTAAAGTTACATGAAAATAAATTACAACTAATTTTCAAATACGATTGCTATTAAATGACGTTTCATCTCTTCATCTTCCGACGATAAGTGATTCTTTGCCAACAATGTATTCAACATCATAATATTCATTTTTTTTTTTTTTTTTCTTTCTTTTTTTGTCTTTCTTTCTTCTTTTTTTGCGTTCCAACTCGATTCTATCATTCTCTATTTTGGTCATTAAATCATATTCTTTATTTCTTATAAGTCTTAGTTCACGAATTTTTGCATTGAACTCATCAGGAATGAAAGATTGTGATGCTACTTTTTTACCATTCTTTTTAGTCATATCTCTACCTTCGGAATGGGGAATTATTGAATTGTCACTAATTAGAGTTTCTGAATTTGAGGGAACTGAATAATCTTCATATTCAATAGTCCTTGATCTTTTTGAACTGCCACGACTTTCTTCACTACTCACTTCGTATTCAGGACGTGAACGAGCTGAATCACGATATAAGTTTAATTCACATCTTGGATGTTTTCTCATAACTTCTTCAAATACGTGCAAGTCCGTAGACTTGGTGTTGTTGCCACCGGCTTCATAAACTATATGAGCTTCATTCTCATCTTGAAATTTCATGCTCATTCCGCTCTTTTTACTTCTATATGCTTCTATGTATGTACCTCTCCACTTGTTTACACTTTCATTAAGACGTTGAAAATGACATTTCATTGAATTCAAGTTTCTTTCACCAATTCCTTCTGAACGTTTGTCATCCCTAACAAAACACAAAACTAACATTAGAGCAATATCTTCCGCCACAACCCAACTAACATTTCTTGTTTCCCCTTGAGAATTTGTGCGTGTCCGTTGAACATTTCGAAATAAATATCGGGAGATGTTTCGTGAGTCTTGAGCATCTCCGAAATTAGAGAATTGAGTAAATTATGAGAAAATGACTCGTGTAAATAATTTTCCAAATTTGAAAATTTATTTTTAAAGTTTGGCAAATTTTGAGAATTGAAATAATATTCGAAATTTGGATCCATATAATATTTGTTTGAAAATATTAAAAAGGTAAGCAATTATAAAATTAATAGGAGAGGATTATGGAAAGAGGGAAAATAGATAAATTGCAATTGTACTAAAAAAAATATATCAAATGTAGTCTCTATTTATAGAGAATGAAAAGATACAATAATTATTATCCTTTAAAAATTATTTATAAATATCTTAACTAAAAAAACAAGCCAGCCAATAGGAATGAGACGAGTGTTTCATTCTCAATTCACACTCAAGGTCATGACGACTTGGGTCGTCCATTTTGCATGTTTTTTCCTTTTTTGGCGTTTAGTTGGTGACTCAACCCAATAGGTCACCAACAAACACAATCTTAACCAAATTTGAATGTTGACATCCACACATATTAAATANTTTTAATTAATTTCATAAATTATAACAGCTCATTTGCTCAAGCTAGTTTACCAAGTCGAATATCAAAAGTTTGGATCGGCTCCCCGTGAGCAAAATTGCACTCCGACCGCGAAATCAAGCCAAACCAATTAATTATGTGCGGTTCGATTAAACTCTTTTTAAAAGTAAAATGTCATGCTCTAAACAAACAAAAAAAAATAAAAGTAGAATTATGCCATTTCATACAGGTGAGCGTTATTGTTTAAAACGTATGACGAGTTGACCCGCCTAACTTCAACTCACATAACAACTTTGTGGTTTTTTAGAGGACAAACAACGTAAGCCAACAAAAAGTCGGGTTCAAAATTTAGAGCCTAATCCACGACACAACAAAATATAACCAATATTATTCAAACTGACTGATTGGACTTAGATAATATAATGTAATCAGTGGCTGACAAAAACAAGTACAAAAGTTTCAGTGAAGTTTTTCTTCTCAAAACTGACTCACAAATGTGTTCAATAGGCACTTGGATTTTGATATATCATGTAATCAGTGGCTGACAAAAACAAGTACAACAGTTTCAGTAAAACTTTTCTCCTCAAACTGACTCACAGATGTGTTTAACAGGCACTACTTTGATAGCGCACACAAATGCCGCAAAAAAAAAAAATATATATCAGCAAACAAGTTTATTGTGTTCATAGTTCAAGAAAAAAAAAAAACAGAGAAAAATTCAGGGAAAATTGGAGGATGGCTCACTTGAAATCGGGCTTCTCTGGGTAGGTGCAACCTGATCGTTGAATAATAACATTAGCTGCGTAACATCCTGCCCTCACACATTCCTCGATAGGCTTGCCCACGACCAATTGCGACAAAAATCCACCCACAAATGCATCACCTAAAAAAATAGGAAATGTCGCGTGCATATTAGGAAAAGAAAAAGAAAATTTAATCAGACAAATGGTTTTGATGAGACATATAAGTTGTCTTTCTTTAAACACACACACACACACACATGAATACCTATATATTTCTATTTATAATTAGTGTCAATCGAAAAATCTCAGGGGTGAATTTATATCTAATCATAACTTGTATATATGTAGATGGATTTAAGTAAATATCGCGAAAAAGTTATGGCATTAGAAGGGATAAATAAAGAAAATCACTAACCTGCACCATTGGTATCGACGAGTTTCTCCTTTGGCAACGGGATGATGGGCAACAACTTCACCTTACCATCCTCGGCAACCACAACTGGGTCTTCACCCTGTGTAATTACAGTGATTCTCTTGTGGGTCCCGGATGCCTTTGGCAGCTGGGAAATTTTCACAGCTATTTCCTCAACGTTATCCGTCTGTTCATTTGGAAGAATTGTGGTAAAAATCTATAATAGATTAGTAATAAATACATCAGAGAATTTGGAGTAGAACGCGTTACCTCCCAGCCGTGAACTTTGGAGAAAGCTCTTGCTTCAGTTTCATTTCCAAAAACATAGTCCATGTACCTGTAGCCGGAATAAATATGGCGTGTCTTCAATCAACATTTGTATGTTTCCAATGATACATAATAAATAAAAGAATTCAAGAAGAATTCACACTTACGGAAATACTTTGTCTTGGACATCCTTGAAGAACTCGCAGATAAATGGAGCAGAAAGGTTTGTCAAGAAAACCTACATGTAAATCAACATTTGCTAGATATTTATTACAACATCTATGGTACAAAATGAACCAAGGGATCATAGTCTCCAAAAAAGGAGTGTTTGGAACAATTTTACTTCAAAAGTGCATTTATCTACTATAATTACAAAAGCCTCTTGTGGTTTGTGTTTGTGTTACGATGACTACCTTCCAAAGCGCAGTCGTAAAATTAAATATGCTTAGTGATTTAAAACATAACTGGGTATCTATATTTATTCCATAAATTAATTATCAAAACTTTTACCTTGTTATTAGCAACTGCATGCTCAGCGACATGCAAGATAGACTCCGGAGAAACCGTGAGGAAAAATCCGGCGATGTAGTAGAATTTGGCCTTTTCCACTGTCAAAAGATAAATAGGTAAATAGGATTTGATGATATGGATGGTGAATACAAATTAAGGAAAGCATACCCAGAGCCCAGTTTTCTGGTTTCTTCAAGTGATCAGGTTTGTAGCAATTTGCAGCTGATAAATTGGCAACGAGTGACCTGCAAAATATTGATGCGTGTCTTAGTTATCCAAGGAAGTGAAAGGCTACAAAGAAATGATATCCTTTGAAAGAAACAGACCTTTCGCCACCAACCACACATACACCACATGTACCAGTAGGAGAGTCGTCCTCATAATAATGAACCTAGAGCAACCACATGGAACAAGGCGGAAAATTTAAAAATAATTAGGATAAAAAAAGTTACTATAGCAGCCGGGAGGGGATCCAAGAAATAAATTAATTACATTAACACCAGCTTGTGTTGCATTTTTTTTCATCTCCTCTCCAAACTTGTCCTTCCCGATGGAACCGATGTAACTTGTTGCGCCAGGAATTTGAAGCATCCACTGTAAGATAGCAATTTAAATAATTATACACTTGGTACTTATTAGAGAACTGACATGGATTATCAATGTAAAGACAATAATTTGTTATGCACCTGGGCAACTCTGATAGAATTTTGAGTAGCCCCTGCAGTACAAAAGTTACATTTGTCAATTATATAATGCTGGCATATATTAGAGAGAGAGAGATATCAGAAGAACGAATTCGAAAAATCTAAGAACACGGTGCAGATAAACTACCTCCAGCAATATACTCCACTTTGAACTTGGATGCCATCTCTTCATACCTGAGAGATTAAATTATTGAACAAGAATATATCACTGATCATTATAAATCATTTCTTCTAAAAGTACATGATTATGCAATTACACTATTCAGTTGATACTTAAACAGATCTATTATCTTAACTTCTGTCGAAATACCCATTGAATTTGTATAATTTAATCACTGGGTCAAATAGCTCAGAGAACAGGGTTAATGATTGATGTGTGACGAATCAAACTGGGCCGACGGAGCTTAACACATCTACATATACTGGGTTTCCCTGTCTCACGGTTGTTCTACAGAACCGTGGCAAAGCTCAAATGAGGATCAAGCAATTCAAGGTGGTTCTCAGTGGAGGAAGTTACACTTATTATCAAATGTCAGAAAGTTGTTATGCCTGCTAACTAGAAGATAAAACTAAGAACTACCCTCCTTTAAGATTTAAGGTGTTAACAAGACGAAAAAAATGGCCATTGCAGCTTCTTAAACCACAAGGAAGCAGCACGCAAACAACAAACTGAAATCCAACCCCCTATAAACTTTTACAGGCATTCCTCACTACTTCTCGATCTAGTTAAGCAGTACCAAACACAACACTCAAAAAAAAAACCAACAGCATCACCAAATTTATAAGTGTTCTAAACCATAAAGGTAATTTGTTCAATCTCTACCAGCCGTTTAGAACAACAATGCTCAAGGTATCGGATTCGTATGAGTATTACTTTTCCTTACAAGTACTGCAAGCCAATGCAAACAATAACTCATACCATGGACATATCCTTAAAATTAACTCAAAGAAAAAATCAAAAGGAAAAGATTACAGAACTACTCACAGAGGTAAGTGCTTCTCCTCGGCTAGGATCGCATTGTTCAGCTTAAGATCATATCTGCCGAGAGAGCAATGAAACCGCATTAGCTTCATCTTACACGCCATCAGACGCATATTCTACTAACCACAGCTAACGCAAAAATAAATCGCCTCAACAGAAAATGCCAAATCCTAGATCTATCAAAACCAGTTGAAGAAATCCACTCGCAAAGAAAACAAAAGAGAAAAAGAACAAAAACTTCAGCTACCACACTAATACAAGCTAGCATTCATGGCGATTGATGATGCAGAAATTCCAGCACACGCACTCAGATCCACGAAAATCGAAAGCCACTAAAGATGATCAAACTAAATTGTGCATACGCAAAACCCCAGAGGATAAAAAAATGCAGATGAAGTGTAAACCAATACGATGAATGAAGAAGCGAAAACTGTTTGGAAAATATTACTTGTCCAGAAATTCCTGATCCACCACGGCGGAGATGTCGAGGAGAGGATTTCCCATGCCCAGGAGAATTCCTTCATGCTCCATTTTCGAGTGATTTTTTCAGATGAAGAAGATGAGCTTTGAATGTGTTGGGAAGTTCAAGAGGAACTATTTGCAGGGTGAGTGTGTATATATAAAGGTATATAAAAATCGGGTAATTTGGGTTGGTGAGGTCGGGTCGGGTTGGAAAGAGAGATTTTCTTAAGGTTAAGATTTGAGGTCAGTTTTTGACTTTTTTTTTTATTTCTCCTTGAAAATTTGTGAATTAAAAATTAAAATTGAAATTAATTAAATGTAATTATCATTCAAAAAATTGGACCAAATGGTATTAATTTTTATTGTCTAACGATAGATTTTATCAGTGTTTTCAATACCGTACCGTACCGGCCGGTAATACCGGATACCGGCCATTGGTAAGGTACAATTGTACACAGAATATCGGATTTACGGTTATACCGGTTTGTACCGGGGTCATATCAAATACCGAAAAAAACCGGTCATCAAAAAAAAAATTAAAAAATTAAAAAAAAATATTAATTTAAAAACATAAAATTAAATTGGTAGTTAGAATATTTTATTTTTTATTTCATTGGTAAGTTAAAATTAATGATTATGGTCATTTATTTTTTTTACTTTTTTGCATTTGGTATAATATATTTTTATATATAAATATATATATAATTATATTTGCTAATCTGGTAATACCACCGATATTACCGGTCCTATCGGTAATATCGCGTACTGGTGGCTAGACCGGTATGGCCACCGGTACGGTATTTAAAACACTGGATTTTATCGAACGAAACACACAAATACAAACTAAAAAACAGTGGATCCACTGAGAAACCAACCAGACATCAACCCTAGCGCCAGCACGACCAACAAACATCCAAAACGCGAATAGCCGGGAGTAGGCCACAAGATTTAGACCCCAAGCCGGACCCAGATCTAAAAACTCCTCCAAGACTCGCAAAACTCACCCAGGCCAGTCCACCACCACAACCCCTCCATGCCAACTCCAGGGCCGGCTCACAGCCGCCACCGCCAACGGAGGTCTCGACCATCCCAACACCAGAGGAGGCCGAAAAAGGAGAATACCAAGGCAGGACCCCCACCACACCCCCACCGCAGGCATCTGCGAACGCCCGTAGTAGCCGCCGGACACCGTGCCTGGCGCCCCCTGCCTCGAGCTCACTCGCCATGGCGCTCGGGACCAAGAGTGGAACCACTACGGGGTGGGAGAAGCGAGCGACCACCACGCCCGCCCGAGGCTTGTCGGGAGCGGAAGAGCTGGGATCGTCGAGAGGGAGGCTCACCTGAAGGATGGGAGGCTGGGGCTTGGCGGAGTGAAATTTGGGGATTTCCTCGATTTTCAGAGAGAGAGTTTTTTAAAGAACGAATCACACGAAGTTAGATTGTTGTATTAATTGACTTTGGAATTTTGTTTGAGTGTAGATTCCGAAGATAAAAAATTAATCCCACATAATGCAAAATTGTGAATACTTAAAAAAATAGGAAACAAAAAAAATTGAGTTATGAGATTGCGAAAAAAGCGGAATTCTAAAAGCAATTAAGCGAATCGAGCAACTCGTTGGCTTCACTCAACACATTAAAGTTCAATATCAACTCTATTCGATTGGTAAACGAGTTCAAGATCGACCCAAACTCATTCAGTCGGCTCAACACGTGAGCTAGTATAACTATTAATTTAACTCGGTTCATTTAAAGCTCAAATTTAACTCGCAAGTTTGATAAATAATCGAGAGCTTGGTTCGATAAAGAAAAAGTTGTATTTTGCTCATGACTTCATTCGTTTACTAATATTACAATAATCATTTAATTAAATAATTGATAAAGAAAAAGTTGTATTTTGCTCATGACTTCATTCTTTTACTAATATTACAATAATCATTGGATTAAATTTAAATAATAAAAAATATCACAGGAACATTGTGTGTGAGAGATACACAAACTTATTATTTCTCACAGAACACAATTAGAGAAGTAAAATTTTCCAAATATGCTAAAACCTTATTACACATTGATAATAATAACAATAATAACAATATATGAAAATGTTGGTAAAAAATGCACTCAAACTCGAGTGACCAAGTCTCCACTGGAAATTGCAAAAGCCCAAAGATTTTCCTTAATAAGGGCTATGTAATGTCGTTATTCTCTCCATTTCAAAAGCAAAAATTGCTTGAAAAAACATCCTTAAAGCAATTGTATTAACGTTGAACTAAATTTGCATCGAAGAAACTTAATGTTGCATGAGATCAAACTGCATACGCATTGACCCACCGTTGTTCAAAGTTGATCACAGATGGCCTTGGTGAAGTCGGTTGTCGATGATTTCCCGCCAAGATCGCCCGTTCTATACTTACCTTCTGCAATTGTCTTCAGGACAGCATTCTGAATAATATCCGCTTTCTCGTGCAAGTCCAGATGGCGCAACATGGTCACAGCACTCAGGAGCAAAGCCGTTGGGTTTGCCAAATTCTACGTGAATACAGCAATGTTTAATTGAATAAAAAACGAAATTCGAAACTGTAATAAAGGAGAAATAATCGAGAAAACATATTGTCCTTACATTACGTTAGAGTAATTTAGTAGGGCACATATATTATAAGCACAAGAAAATATTCTAGAATCGCAAAACAAGCGGACTTGATGCATCATAAAAGGAAGAACAGTGGAAAATATTTAAAGAACAGTTTAAAAAGGCTAACCTTCCCAGCAATATCAGGTGCAGAACCATGTACAGCCTCAGCAAGAGCAATACCACCCTCACCAATATTGATGCTGTAAGGGAACAAATTAAGTGAAAGTGTGAAACTTAATTATATACGAATGGGATACTATCTAAAGACGCAATGGAATAGAGAAACACCTTGGAGTTAAGCCTAAACCTCCAATCAAACCAGCGCATAAGTCGCTGATTATGTCACCATAAAGATTCGGCATCACAAGCACATCAAAAAGTGATGGATTCTTCACAAGCTGCACATTGGGGAAAAGAATATTACAATTGCATCATTATATTATTTGGTTTTTCCTTCAACAATATAAAAACTGCAGTTAGAATAGTAGTAACTCTTATATAAAAGAGATTATCGGCTCGCCAAATCAGTATTCATAGCAGACAAATCTTTCGTACCATCATACAGCAGTTGTCAATCACAACCTCTTCATATTTTATATCTGGGTGTTTTTCTGCGACCTCGCGACAACACTGCAGCATGAGACAGAAAATGAGCAGCCGAAAGGGCAAAGGTAAAAGAATCAATTCTGAATGATATTCAAAAAAAGCAGACCTTAAGGAAAAGACCATCAGTTTTCTGCATGATATTGGCTTTGTGAATGGCGGATACTCTTTCTCGTCCATGGGTCTCGGCATAGTGAAAAGCATACTCGGCAACTCTCAGACTTGCCTGGCGTGTAATGATCTTGAGACTCTCGACAACACCCCTGACCACCTAGAGAAACTCAAGGGACTTCATCAAATTTGACGACATATGAATGGCTTTTTTAGAATCAAGCTCATGCCCAGAACAATCTTACCTGATGTTCAAGTCCACTGTATTCCCCTTCCGTGTTTTCACGAATAGTAATGAGATCAACATCATCGTATTTTGTCTTGTACCCAGGTAGACTATAACAAGGTCTAACATTGGCATATAGATTAAGCTCTTTCCTCAAGGTAAGATTAAGAGAGCGGTGACCTTTCCCGATTGGTGTGGCCATAGGCCCTTTCAAGCCAACCTTGTTTCGTCTTACGGATTCCAGACTTTCCCAAGTCAAGAAACTCTGGGTTCGAGGATCAATTGATGACCCCACAAAATGTTCTTCCCATTCAATTGGCACATCGGCAACTTTAAATACCTGGGTTCACACCAATTGTTATGATATTTACTATAGGGAAGCACTTTTATTCCCCCAATATAATAATCAATCATCACTTCAGTTAAACAGTTCCATTCATGCCAGACCATCTACAACAAAATTTATCGACAAGAAACATCCACAGTTGAAAAAACAATTCCATTCATACCAGACAATCTATAAAAAAAAATTATCGGCAAGAAACATCCACAGTTAAAAAATTAAGTGCAACAAGATAGGCACTGTCTCCCAACGCAATGCCATATAATCACGTCATATACCCAGAACACAATGTAACAATTGCAATATCATCGTCCACAAAATCATTAACTATCAAAATGCATTGTCCATGAATGTGACATATTGATTACATGATTCACATATCAAAACCATTTATGTAATAATAATCCTAGCCTCAGGGTGTATCTCAAATTGATTCTCAGCAGTAAAAAGTCCTGTGTTCTCACCATTATTATATGAAATACACGCATATATAACAGTTCACTGCTCCACAATCCATCAGCAATCAAGCAGATCATCAACTCCATGCACGCACAAACCATCACAATTGATCGAAATTCAAGCTCGATTACTCACTCTTAACACGAAGCAAAAGGCAAATTCATATTCTTCAACCCGTTCGCGTCAACAAAATTCAAAAGGTTGACAAAAAACAAAATCTAACTAATCACACACCGTATAAAATTATCGATCGACGGGCCATGTTCTTCATACCTGTTTGACAGATTCGGCGATCTCAGGCCCGATTCCGTCGCCGGGAAAGAGGGTAGCGCGGATCAGATCGGATTCCGACGCGGCAGACGAGAAGCTCCGATACAAGAAGCTAGGGTTTGCGGAGGAGGAGAGCCCACCGGGTCGGCTCGCAGCGAGCCGTCGTACAAAACGCGACGCCATTTACTAGCTGCTAGGGTTTCAGATCACGGCCGGCGGGCAATCGTCGATCGACCAATTTGATCGAATAACAGAGTATTTATTTGCGAAAAAATATATTACGAAATAAAGTTTTTTGAGGAAGGAGACTATCCCTTGAACAATTATGAGGTCAAAGAGAGCATCATACTGACCCTAGATATTTTTTATTTTAATTAATATTTTTGAAATTAATGTAATTATCGAGTATGTAACTATGTATAGTATAAATCTATTTTTTTTATTACTAGTGTGTGGTCCGTGCGATGCACGAGAAAATAATATTACGATTGTATTATAAATTAAATATATAAATAACAATGATCATGATTTAACTATTGCTTTTAAATTAAACCGGGTCGACACACTCCGACCGGATGGACCGAGAACCGGTTTATAACCAATCTAGTTCGCTTGAATAAAATATTTGCTCTTGAATCCATCAACACCAGTCGGTTGGACTGGTAGGATTGATACGATTTTCTAAATAAATTTTGTTATATTTAAAATTATCTTAAATAAAATAGAGATTTATAAATTATTTATCAATTAGTTTAAACATTTGAATTTTAAATTGTTTAGATATCTAAGTAACACATTTTATTCAAATTTATTACAAAAGTATTATATATATTAAAATGCTTATAAATTAAAATGTGAACAGACCACAAATGATTTAATAAAATAGCTTGATCGTTTCAATGACGGTTCAATTCTGAAAACCTTATATTTATTGTACATTAATAAATATTATAATAAAATATTATTTAATTCACAAAAATATTTGATAAAATGATATACAAATATTCATAAATCATTAAACATGTTGTCATAAAAGTATTCTTCATACGATTATTTGAAATTTGGACTACATCACCTTCACGTAATAAAATATTTTCAATATAAAATTTATATTTAGGTTCAATAATCGACTTGGTGTGGTCGAACTGATATATAACTTAGTCACCTGGGACCAATCAAGTTGTGTTAAATTTTTAACTATTTTAAATATCACCTAAAAGTAATTCAATCAACCTGGGCAGTACCCTAATTCAATCACCCGATTGATTCAAAGAAATTTTCTTATTTTCTTTAAATATATTTAATGTTATGAAATAAAAATATTTTATGATTCATATAATAAATGTCTACCATATGATAGTATATTAAGACTATAAATTATATATCTAAAGATGAATTAATTATTTTTACTTTATGCATATTAATAAAAAGTAAACATAGTAATTTTCAAAAAATTAAGATTGATTGATTGATTATGTAATTTAAATAATATTTTAGCGTTCAATATTTTTTTAAGGACACAAATATAAAGACCGAGATTCTGAAACTTTTGTTGTATTTTGAATTGACATTTTATAAATATAGAGACCGAGATTTTAATGTTGTTCGTTGTTTATAAGAAAAAAATAAAAATAAAAACATACACATTTAATAAAACTTAGCCGAATTTTTTTAATAATAAAATAAACTAAAGCCCAAAATTTAAAGTAGCATTTAATTGTGTATAATTTTTAAAGAAAAATAATAAAACTTACTATTTATAGATTGCATTTAATTCTGACCTATTTTTTTTGCTACTATTTTTGGTAAATAGTAATTCTTATTATATATATATATATATATAGATTACTAGTACGTCACCCACGAGTAGCGCCGCCTAGTGTTAAAACTAAACTAATCTAAGTGAATCAAAATTTAAATAAAAAAATTATTCATAAAACATGTAGAGAGATAGTAAAATGTACAATAAAATTTTTATTTATTACATTTAAAATGCTTCCTTAAATGATAGTAGTGGATAAACGGGTTCATAATCACTGTTATCATAATAAATAATAATCATAAGATAATAATGATATATGAGTAAAAAACAACAAAATATTACAAAATAACATTTTTTAATAGAAAATTTATAATTAAATACATTAAACATAAGAAAAGAAAAAATTTGTGATATTCGACTGAAAGAAAATAATATATATATATATATACTTCACATTAGTGACACTCCTTAAAACTTTTTTCTAAAAATGTCTCTATAGTAGCATACTTTCATCATTTCTGAAAATATAAAGAAATTATTAATATTATACAGATAAACTGGTATACGAATAATTGAAATTAACATGATATAAGTCAATTAAAATTATAAACATAAATTTAATACTTAAGGAAAAAAATACAAAACTGACTCCATTTTGATTCTCATGCATATAGTTTAGAATAAAAAAAAAACTACTCAATTTCTGTCCGCATACATTCAGTATAAAAAAGTCCACATATTTTTCGCTATTTTATTGACAAAATAAGTTTCAACAATTTATTTCGTTGCAAAATAAGTGCGATGGTAATCATAATGATACATGGATAATTTTTTTGTAAAGTTACAAATAGGCCTAGTAAACGTCCATGTCAATGTCCATAAAAAATTACTTTTTTTAGCACGGAATTCATGAGAAATGTAATTTAATGTATTTTTCATAATTGTACATTGATATATTTTTTTTAAATAATAAAAAAATGCATTTAAATTATGTTATATAAATTATAAAGAATAAAAATTTCATTGATTAAAATTAACATTTGTTGTATATGATATAAAAAAAATAGTTTATGCACTATAGTATCGAATTTTACCTACTGCAAAAATTCAATAACGATAATATATTTCCATCATTCTCTTAAAAAATGTGTTACAATAATAAAAAATAAACAATAATTAACACATTACTATTTTTATTTTCTATTTTTTTTCTTTCGCAATATTAGTCTATTTCTTACTCATAAATGAAATCAAACGTGGAAATTGTTCCAAGTAACCCTTTCTACATTACAAATTGTTAAAATGACCTTTGACTAAAATTTTACAATAAAACTTAATAAGTAATTATATTAAATAATTATTTACCAATATACCCTCAATTTCTTCTTCAATTTCTTCTTCCTTCTTCAATTTCACCCGGCCCCTCTCTCGCATTCTTCTTCGTCGCCTTCTCTCTGCTTTTCTTATTCCTCATCATCTCTCACCCTCTCTTCACGCGTGATGCCCAGCCCATCGCAGTCACGCCCTCTCCTCCGGCCTCTCTCTACAGTACNTTCGGTATTGGAAATTTATTTAGGGATGTTTTTCTCAATCTTATACTTCAATTTCCTCGATATTTTGCCAAACTGTGCAAAGAAATAATAGTTGAAGCTGCTCTCAGGTAAAGGGTTAATTTAGTAGGAGAAAGAAAACATGCATTACACTTGCTGTTAAATTAAGTGACGGTAATTGGAATCACTAATTGTTCAGAACAAATACGAAAATCAAAATCACCAGACTCTTAAACTACAGGTAGGCTAGTATTTCCAATTTATATCATTTTTGTTGTTCCACTCTGGGATTTTGGGTTAAGGAGGAAAGAGGGTAAGAAGCACAAGGACAAGAATCATCAAAATATACAGATCCCTAAAAGCTCGAATCATTGTAGTTACAGTCCAAACCTCAAGTGCATAAGGAATTATGAGGAATAACAAGGGTAGAAGCAAGATGAAAATTAACCTGTTATTTGAGATTGAATTGATATGGTAATCATGTGCATGTGAATATACTCTCTCTGCAGTACGTTTTATTTATTTATTTATTTTTATTTTATTTTTTTAAATTTCTGTACCGAATTTGGTGTGAGATTTGGTTTTTGGATTTGTAAATTTTGGTGTATCTGAAATAGCAATTATTCATGTGTTTCTTAATTTCAGCCCTTATTCATTTGATCCCTTTTGTGATTCTTGTGGGATGCCTAGGGTAATTTTAGTTGCTTGATTTTTGTGATTCTTAATTTTGTGTTCTTGGCAATTTTAGTTGCTTGATTTCTGCCATAAAAGGGTAGACGAGAGGATAATGATATCGTATTTGGTAGTGATGCACTTATAGTGTTACCAATGTAGTGTGATTTTGAAATTATTGGTCAAGCTTTAGGTTTTGCAATGTTTTCTGGTTTTATGCACAGAGGGTAAAAGAGATGATAATGATATCGTATTTGCTAGTGCCTATGTTGCCAATCTAGTGTGATTTTGAAATTGTTGAACAAGCTTTATGTTTTGTATTTTTGAGATACTGATGAAAATGAGCTTTCCTCTCCTCACTCCCTTAATAGCTTTTGCAGTCCATGCATCTAGATTTCTTACAATGACATCCTTTAGAAATGAGTTAACTTATAACTTTAACGAGTAAAATATCGTCATAATGTATTATATTATGAATGTATAGGTGTATTTAATTGACTGAGATAAAAATATACCTAAAATGAAGATTCATTTGTTATGGTGTATGAAATAACGAATGTACATTCTTATGTATTAAATTAAAACCAATAACAAGAGTACTTTACAACAATTGTTATAGTAATTTTGGAAACGACATTATATACCTAATTTAAGCTCCTTGTTTGATCTATTTAAGTTTAGTGTTAGTACTTATTGCTTGTTTGATCTATTATGACTTATGTTGTCTTTCTTTTCTGTTTTTAGGAACCAAAAAGGAATATGCGTTTGATATACCTTCCAAATGCAACGCAGTCTTGACCAATCGGTGCAAACTCAAAGTTGTCAGTGAAGTATTTGACAACCTAGACAAAGCACATAAATTTCGATTCGTAGAGTCTTGCTTCCGGCCACTAGTAAATATTCCCGAGCTCATATTGTCCTCGCAACTAGTCCACCAAGTACTTCGCAGGACATTGAAAGCGTCCGAAAATGACAAAGATGTCGTGTGGTTCAGATTTGGGGAAAACGAAACTAGATTCGGGTTACAAGAGTTTTGTCTTGTAATCGGATTTAAGATTGCGGCGGATGATGAAAATGCGTACGAGGTCCCCAAAACTAACAGTTCGCTTTTGCAACTGTTTAAAGCGGGGGAAGATCAAACGCAGTGACTTTTACGATCAAGTTTATAGAATTTTTGCGTGCTGGGAAGAATGTTGAAGGCGTAGATCAATCTCGGATTAGTGATTGGCGTGTAAAACTAGCGGCTGAAATATTTGGTGCTCATTTTGATGTATGTTTTAAACATTCAATATGTAACTGGTTGTAGTGATCTTTTGGATAATACATTTTTGCATTATTTTTCATGTGTTTTTCAATGCAATGATGCGGGTGATTGATTTTTGAAGTTGTATTTTTTACGTACTTTCCAATGCTATGGTTATAATAGTATTTTATCAAATTTGTTAAAGATATTATTGTAACGAGAAGTTTTAATGTAATAAGTCGAGGAACCGATTACATTCGTTTTTTTGAAAATAAAAAATAAAACTTGCTCGTTGCTGGCGCGACGTCCGTCACGGCCGCGACATCATGGTTACCTTCTCTGTCCGACCAAGAACAATTCCCAGTGTCGCGCGCGCGACACATGTCGCGACCGCGACGTATAGTCGGTTCAATATAACGATTGTACAATCGTTATTTTGTATGAAATAAGAATGTACATTCGTTATTTTGAAAAAAAAAAAAAACTTGCTTGTCGCTGGCGCGACGTTCGTCGCAGCCGCGACATCCTAACAACATTCTCTGTCCGACCAAGAACAGGACCCAGTGTCGCGCCCGCGACACATGTCGCTACCGCGACATACAGTTGTTTCAATATAACGATTGTACAGTCGTTATTTTTTATGAAATAACGAATGTACATTTGTTATTTTGAAAAAAAATAAAACTTTCTTGTCGCTGGCGCGACGTTCGTCGCAGCCGCGACGTCCTAGCAACATTTTCTGTCCGACCAAGAACAGGGCCCAGTGTCGCGCCCGCGACACATGTCGCTACCGCGACATACAGTCGTTTCAAAATAACGATTGTACAATCGTTATTTTGTATGGTATAACGAATCTACACTCGTTATTTAAAATCCACCTTAAACGACCGTGCATTCGTCATATAATACATTATAAAGATATTAAACTCGTTATAGGTCTAATTTTGGTCATTGTTAAGTTAAAATAACGAATTTACAAAGATATTACATGATTTTTCCATTTTTCAAAAACAAAAAAAAAAAACCAAGTATTGTTATTTCAAAATAGAGTTTCGTTGTGAGTGTTGCGACACTCTAAAAACTTCAAACTATCATTCCGACGACATGTAACATTAATATACATGCGTTATCAAGTAATTCAATCGGAAAAACCATAAAGAAAGCGCGTTTGTGTCGTAAAGCAACCATAACGAATTTTCATTCGTTATAACGAATGCACATTCGTTATGTTTGTTTTTCGACCAAATCCACCTTAAACGACCGTGCATTCGTCATATAATACATTATAAAGATATTAAACTCGTTATAGGTCTAATTTTGGTCATTGTTAAGTTAAAATAACGAATTTACAAAGATATTACATGATCTTTCCATTTTTTTTTTTTTTTTTTAAAAAAAAACAAGTATTGTTATTTCAAAAAAGAGTTTTGTTGTGAGTGTTTCGACACTATAAAAACTTTAAACTATCATTCCGATGACATGTAACATTAATATACATGCGTTATCTAAAATAACGAATGTATAACGATTCTTCATTATCTATTCATTTCCAAAAACAAACAAGTATAGTTATTTCACAAAATGAGTTTCATTATATGTATTTCGAACTAAAACTCGTTATATAATCCATTATAAAGATATTACACTTGTTGTAGGTACAATTTTAGTCATTTTTCATGTAAAATACGGAATGTACAAAGATTTTACATTATCTTTCCATTTTTAAAAAACAAAAAAACAATTAAGTATAGTTATTTCACAAAAAGAGTTTCGTTATGAGTATTTCCACGCTCTAACGGGTCCAAACTATAGTCCAAAGGTGATATATGACCAAGATACAATGTTTAACACGTCATTCCATAAAAACAACCAAAATGAGAGCACCTTCGTTACGATTTTCACTATAACGAATAACGAACGAATGTACATTCGTTATTGTTCTTTTTCGATCTAAAACACCTAAAACTCGTTATATACTCCATTATAAAGATATTACACTCGTTGTAGGTACAATTTTAGACATTTTTCATGTCAAATAAGGAATGTACAAAGATTTTACATGATCTATCAATTTTTTAAAAAAAATAAAAATAAAAACAAGTATAGGTATTTCACAAAAAGAGTTTCGTTATGAGTATTTCCACGCTCTAACGGGTCCAAACTATCGTTCAAAGATGATATATGACCAAGATACAATGTTTAACACGTCATTCAATAAAAAAAAATAAAACGAGAGCACTTTCGTTACGATTTTCACCATAACGAATATACATTCGTTATTGTTCTTTTTCGATCAAAAACACCTAAAACTCGTTATATACTCCATTATAAAGATATTACACTCGTTGTGGGTACATTTTGAGTCATTTTTCATGTAAAATAAGGAATGTACAAAGATTTTACATGATTTATCCAATTTTCAAAAATAAAAAAACAAACTAGTTTTTCACAAAAAGAATTTCGTTATGAGTATTTCCACGCTCTAACGGGTTCAAACTATCGTTCAAAGGTGATCTATGACCAAGATACAATGTTTAACACGTTATTCCATAAAAAAAATCAAAACGACTGCATAACGACTGTACATTCGTTATGTATCCATCATCTAGAAAAATGAAAAAAAAAAAATACTTCAATGGCACAAGCAACAACATAAATATGAAGAGAAACACGAATGCACACGTACGCCTATGTACATAAAAGAGCGCAAAATTTCTCCACAAACACCCCCAATTTTCTCGGGGAAAATAAAAAAAATACAATGAGGTGGATCAAAACAGAGTCCGACTATTAATTGAAGAATCCCACTGTGTCCCCGCAATCTTTGTTGTTTTTAAACGAAAATTATGGAAAATTTAGCTCGAATAATTATGGAAAGTACACCTAATATCTATTGAAAATTCTACTTTTCGGGGTCAAAATATATAAATTAGGGCAAGAGAACAAATGTCGAGCGGGAGCGAGACCGAGAGAGACAGAGCAGAAGAAGAGATCAATTTTTTTTTTTTTATAAACACAAAATAGGAGAAGGTTATTTTAGGTATTTCAATTATATATTTACTTTTATTTAATGAATGGGTTATTTGGACAAAAAAAAAATTCAAAGGGTCATTTAAATAAATATAGAGTTTGACCATCCCTTTTAAATAAACACCCCATCAAATTCTGAAATCATATTCGAACACCAAATTATCGAATTTTTGTTTTATATAAATACTATGATACTAAATTGTCCTCTAAAAGGAAAATAAAAAAGTTTATTTTCTGTATACATCAATTAATTTTTATTATATGCTTTTATGTTAATTGTTTAGGTTATATTAAAGAGTAATGTTATGAGTACATAATATTGTACATAAGAGTGTACATAACACTCACATTGAGTGGGACCCACCAAATATAAAAAATAAAATATCAAGTAGACTCACTCCATGTACATTTATTATATACTTGTAGCATTTTTTATATTAAATGAACAATCATGACAAAAAAAACACATATTGACATTGAATTTATGATAATTATTATTTAACTTATTTTTTATAAATACAAATGTTTTGAATTCTTTTAAAACAATAAAAATAAAATATTTAAATTATAATATATAGCTCCAAAAAATAAAGTAAAACTAACACTTGTGATAAGTGATAAAAATAAATAATTATTGCATTATAGTATATTGTGTGAACCTTTATTTGCCGTAATATTTTGATAAAAACAATATATTCTCCCATTATTAAGAAAACAATATTGATATAAGAATAATAAATTAACTCATTATGTATTTTCTTTTCATAAATAATAGTTTTATAATTATGGACCAATAAAGAAATTAAAATAATGACAAAATATTATGCACAAACGTTTAGATGGTTTCTTCGAGATCTTAGCAAAAATAAAATAAATTAAGAGTAATGCTATAAGTACATAATATTGTACATAGAGGTGTACATAACACTCACATTGAGTGGGTCCTACCAAAACATAAAAAATCAAGTGGACTCCACCCATGTGAGTGTTATGTACAACTCTATGTACATTTATTATATACATCTAGCATTTTCCATAAATTAAAAAAACTATCACTTTTTTGTTCAATCAACACATTCAGCTATACCATAATCAATATAAAAATGTGATTAGTCGAAAAATGTGCATGCATTAATTATCTAATATTGTGATTTTACACGTTTAATTCCTCGCACTTATGCACCTTTTGACATATTTGATATTATGATCGATTCTCGTGCTTTGATGAGAAATTCAGTGTTTTTCAGTATTTTTTGGAATATTTCTAGTGCACAATGATATATGGATACACGAACAAAGATGAAGAATTCAACACAGCAGAGTATAGGGGTGCCACGTACTAGCCCAACAAGACCCATGCACATAACAAGGCCCATGCACTTCATGTAATAGGGGAATTAATGACGCCCCCTATCTATTTATTTGGACAGTTTACATAATTATCCCCATTTATCATTTAGACAAAATTACTCCTTTTGTTTTTAATTACACAATTTTTGTGGACGTATCTAGGTTTTCAATCTCTTTCTTTTATCTCTCGTTTTCTTTTAAACCGTTCCCACCATTCTCTCCCATTTTCTTTTATTTCTTTCCATCTTTTTCTCTCTTTCCTCTATTTATTAAGAGTAATGCTACATGTACAATAGTGTTTGTACAATCGCTTTGACAATGGCATGTAATTACCTATTCACCCTTATAATTGTAATTTTTTATGCTTTTAATTACCATATTGCCCTTAATATCACTTCCACTCTTAGATGTTGAATCCTTGTAATTATAATATTTTAATTATGATTTTTATGTACCTTTAATTAGCATATTATCCTTAATATCACTTCCACTCGTGAATGTTCATCCAGTACCATTCTATCCATATAAATATCAGTAAGATTTTATAACTAATACATTATTTTTTTTTTTCATTTTACAATAACTAGTTATACTATAAAATCACAAAAACAACATAAAGATGTAAAAGTAAATTTCGCTAATATAATCGCCAATATTCTCATATAAAAATTAAATAACTAGTTAATATATATATTCATCGAAGTTACATAGTCAACCTCATTTACTCATTAATACAAACATTTCATTGCAAAATCTGCAGGAGGACATGTGCTTCTTTAAAATATTCTATGATGATATCCACTATGGTAGATGAGCCATGACCCAGGAATCATCGACCACCCTGTTTAACATAAGCTACATATTAATTAAAGAAATGTGAAAAATTACTAAATTGCATATAAATTTCATCTTAGGCTTCACAATACATAGACATGTAAAAAGAAATATAGAAACATTCAAATATTGCTTTTATCGTATGATCAGGACCATCAAAATTAGAAAAGAAACTCGTATCATTCAATCCGTTTAAGCTATCCAAATCATGAAGACGATTTCCCTGTAGAAAAAAAACATTTAAAATAAATAAAATTTAAAGAGATATGTTAATTTTAAATAAAATTCATCATGCTTACGTGCAACAGTTCTAAAAAAGAAATTTGGTCAGGTTGATGCCTCTGACTTGGTTGACACGCAGTAGATTGGTTCCCAACACATGGACTACCATCTGGCCTTACATTTTTTCCCTTCTTCGTCTTCGCATTCACTTGTGTCTGATTCATAAAATGCTTTAAATAATTAGTGACCAAGTAAATATTAAAACAATGAAAAGCTAAAAGTAAACTACCTTTGTTTTCTTTGCACCAAGCTCAAGTGGACTTTTCCTCCGAGCCTTCCGAGGTGCACCTTTTCTTTTGGTGCAATACTGGTCAAGTATTTATCCGCTGAAGTTATTCCCCGTTCTATTTCACCAACACAACTATTTGGCTCTAAATTACAACCTCTCAATGAATTAGACCGTAAAGTAGCCAACTCAATTGTTTTCATTTCGATCCATTTTTTAACATCCTTGAACCCCGACTCATTATGTGTTGCAATATCTGCTAGCCTTGTGAAATCACGACACAATTCATCGTACCTTTCTTGTCCTGGCGCAACTATCCAGCCGTTGTAGTTGATCTTGATCCGCATGTATAGTCGACTCACATCTCTTCTCCATCTTCGTAAGATATACTTATCTGGAACAGACCACACATGATTCAGGAGGAGGACTGAAATTGCATGTTTGCATAGAATTCCCCTGAACTCAAACATATGGCAACTACAAAAAACTTCAGACTCTCCACGATTAAATGACACAACAAGTGTTTTTTGTTTACCTATTTTTCCATCGTGTTGAACATCCTCGACTATTTTGTATTCAGATCCAAAAGGAACCTCCATACTGCATTTAATATTGCAGTACATTTTGTGAGTCAACTCTTTCTGAAACTCTTTAAATTTATCCCTAGTGTACGCAACTTGAAATTTTCTCTCCATTTCATATACGCTTACGCATGGGAGAGCGGTAATCTGCTTCAAACTCTTTTTCTACCTTACTTAGCAAAGCAAGCTCATACTGCTCAACAAATTGTTTTAAAGAGGTCTTGGAGTGGAGATATCCGTCAAAAAATGAATTCAAACTCTCACTCCGCTGTGTTGATGACATTCCTGCCCAAGAATGCATATTTCGAAAACAAGGAACCCACCGAGATCTTTCAACATATAATCCCGTCAACCATTCATTTGCTTCTAACTCATAATCGATAACCATCGAAGACCACTCTTGTTCAAATTCTTGAGCTGTTTGGGACTCATAAACTACTGCTCGGATAGATGAAAAAAGTGTATCTTTACGGCCATGATATCCAAGCTTTTCAGGCAAGTTTTTTAATATATGCCAGAGGCACCACCTGTGCCTAGTTTCTGGAAATACAATTGCAATTGCATTTTGCATCGCCCTATCCTGATCAGTTATAATTCCAAGCGGATGTTGATGTTCCATGCATTCCAGCCAAACTTTGAACAACCAAATAAAAGTATCTATATGCTCATTAGAAAGAAGAGCACAACCAAGGAGCATTGATTGACCATGATGATTAATCCCCACAAATGGAGCGAAAGGCATATCATACCTGTTGGTCAAATATGTTGTATCAAATGAGACAACATCGCTAAACTCTTTATAAGCCTGCCGACATCTATTGTCAGCCCAAAAGACATTTCGTAATCTATAATCATCGTCTTTGTATATGCAGTAGAAGAAACCTGGGCTTTGGTTAGTCATCTTTGAGAAATAAGCTTGGATAGCAGATGCATCTCCTTCCGTAACCTCAACCTCCGAACTTCGTCAATATAGTTGCGACAGTCTTTTTCAACAAATTTCATGTTCTCATATCCCCCAGACCTGACAACATGAGAGTGAAAACTTTTATGGATTGTTATTCCTGCAATGTCATTGAGTTGCAAATCCCTTTTCACTGATTCATTAATCTCTCGATTGCATCGAAACATTCTAGACTTTGTAGAGGTTGTTGGATAATTGTGTTGTAGTTCAACAGCTATGATGCTCCAAAGTCCAGTAGCATCTGTACTTGCAGTCAACTTAGCTTTGCAACCAGTTTGACTTGTTGGGTGAGGATTAAGTTGATTGCATGCATTCCCAGATCTATTGCCTTCACGACTGCAAGTATATATCACGCTTTCAAGATTTCCGCTATGGCCTTTTCTGGAGCTCCTCCTTCTAATAGGAAATCCCACGCGGTATGCGTAAGTTTTATAGAATTGATAAACCTCATCCACGGTTAAAAATTTCATCCCAACTGTAGGAATATTCTTTGGTGAATGTTCATTGTCCTCCCAAATCTTGGCAGAATCATCCCCAGTTCTAGAATCATTTGTGTTTACCATCTCCTCACCAACCTCCATATTTATCCCTGATTCTTAATTTTTTAGATCATCAATAAAACAAGCAAACATATGCAAAATCATTAGCACATCAATAAAGAATATGCATTAATTCACATTTAACACAAGTAATTAACACCATGATTAAAACAAGCAACTAAGATACGAAATTAAAATGTTGAGAAAATAAATCAAATTGCAGTCACATATACAATGTTTGCTCTTTTTATATTTCTTTTTGTTAGTGAATAACATTAAGAATTTACATAAATTGCATTTCTAGTGCAAATTATATTTACAGGTCAATCAAATTTTATTCTATGATGTTGGTTGAAGCTTCAATATATCACCAAGAAACATATCAATTTTACATTTCTCTAAAATCCCATTAAAATCCCTCTGAAGTAACTAACATGGAAAAATAATTGAAATGAAAAACTAAGCAATAAAATTCTAGGCTAAACATTTACCTGCGTCCTTCATATTGGATGAAATGGGTGAAGGTAATTGTGTCTTCTCCACACATGTTTCAAAATGAGAGGTAGGGGAACTCATAAATTAATTTGAAGAAATGAGAGGAAGTAACAGATAAGCAATTAAATTTTTTTGCCGCAAGCAGTGGACAAATTTTGAAGAAGAGTTTTGAAGAAATTGAAAACTGGTGACGTTTGGTTTATGTGGAAACCTAAGGTGAGTTTTTTACTTTATCGCGATATTTTAGTTTGAGATTTTCGTGATTGTATATCTCATTGTAAAAGTTAATTGTACAAATAGTATTTCTGATCTATTAATTATGTTTCTTCTTATTAAATCAGTAAACTCAATTCTCCTTTCTCAAAACTAGTACGTAACCCGTGCGATGCACGGGATGTAAAATTTAGAAGAATAATATAACCTCACGTGCATTAGGATCGAAATTGAAATCATTAAAATACATAGGAACATTGTTGAATCATAAAAAAGTTCGGTAACAATCATATATTATTAAAAACCTCCTTGTACACAACATTATGAGTTTGATTATTTGGTAACTCCTCATTATCACAAACTAATATTTTCAAAAGAGACAAATCCTAAAAATCAAACTAATATTTTTGGTGAACAAACTAATATTTTAGGATTGGTGAACAAACTAATATTTTAGGATTTCTAGGATTTGTCTCTTTTTGGTGAACAAACTAATATTTTAGGATTGATTATATGAATAAGGCTACCTGTTTTTTGTGTTCTTTTCATTCAGTTTCATTCAAACAATCCGATGACTTGTATAATGAAATCTGAATCTTAAGCCAAAATATTTAAAAAAAAGAGTTTTTAAAAATTGAAAAGTCAAGGCAATCAGTTCAGATTAATTAAAGGTCAAAGAATATCCGCTCCTTGAAATAAAGACGTGTGCTATCATTAACCAAATATCCGGTTATTGATATAGAGTGGTTACCAAAAAATAGAACGCGATAAGGACGCTTCATGGAAATATCAATGGGATAAGGTCATAACAGATCGCTATACATTTTAACGATAAAAGCTCATATGGAATGATTTATGATAATTATGTCGTAATTAATGAATTAATTAGATGTGTGAAAATGACATAATTAATGAGAAGTGTGAAAAGGACATAATTAATGAGAAGTGTGAAAAGAACATAATTAATGAGAAGTGTGAAAAAGACATAATTAATGAGAGAAGTGTGAAAAAGACAAAAACTTACCAGTTTTGGAAAATACTTAATGCAAATCCGATATTGACCATAATTTGACCTACTATTTTGGATAAATGTTAATTCTTATTATATAAGTATAGATTCACATCTCAGAGTTTGAATCGCCATGTAAAAAAAATCTCCATTCATATAATTTTTAATCCCACTCCAAACTTTTTTGAATCTCAAATTTCTAAAAAACTTCGATTTATTACGGGGAAATGGAGAACAGTCGGGTTCTCGATGAAATCGAATTTAGAATCTACGTCGGCTGAACGAACACCAAAAGGCAACTACCAAAACGGTGATTTTGAGAGGCGCGGCTACTCCCGACGAGGACCGCGATTTCAATACCATCTGTCGAGACGGCTGCGGGTGCTCTTCGGGGTTGCCGCACAAGTTTTCGACTAACGTCCAGCAACCCGACCAAATTTCGTGTTTGTTTACTGTTCAGATCTGCATTTTCTTCTTCATTATTACAATTTTTATTGTTTTCTATTTGTTTATTTTTTTCATTTATTTGGTTTGTTTTTCTTTGGGTTTTTTTTTTTGTATTTGTTTTNAGATTGGTGCGCCCATTTATGGTATTTGGGAATTGAGTTTAGGTAGCTTTTAATATTATTATCATCTAGTTGGTTTTTATTTGTTTGATTATTTATGTTTGTGGATTAGTCATTCATTATAGGGTTTCATGTTATTTAGACATCTGTGAAAGAAGGCTTTATTTTTACTTTAATGAAAATTTTGATTGAACTTTTGTTTATTCTCTGTAGGAATGGTGATCTTTTGTTAATTTCTGTTTTGTTCATTTAATATCGGGATTAGAAATAAGTGAGATATTAGTGTACACGACGTCGTTTCTACCTTACTTTGTACGACGTCGTTTCTTTCTTACTATCAAATGTATCCGTGCATACGTGTAAGTATAAATAAGTGACCAAGTCATTTTGACTGTAATTTTTTCGGATGAATAAAAAGAATGGTGTTCGTACACAAATGATTTTCAGATTCTGCATGGTATCAGGAGATCATTGATTTCTGGGCGTTTGCTGCGCAACATCGATCGATTGCAGTTGCGGAAGAACGACATTTACTCGATTTCATTCGTAGAACCTCACTACTGTAAATGGAGCAGCGCAGAGGAAATCCATGGCCGTTGTTGACGACCAACACAATTTCCGGTTCAAGGGGAAATGCTTCAGATCCATTGGTACTACATGGATCGGACAATCCTGGTATGATGTTAATCTCTCACCAATTAACCGGTAACAATTTTCTGCCTTGGAGACGATCTATGATCCTTGCATTAGGAGCTAAGAATAAGCTCGGATTTGCTACCGGCGAAGTTCCACAACCTAGCATCGATGATGAGCTCTATGCGGATTGGAGAAAGATCGATTGGATGATTTTGAACTCTTTATCCAAAGAAATTGCTGAAACTTTCATTTGTGCTGAATCTTCCAAGGAATTATGGGAAGAAATAGGGCAGCAGTATGGGGAGAACAATGGACCGTTGAAATATAAACTACAACGAGAAATCTCTAACTTGACTCAGGGTAATAGCACTGCACTGGAATACTTTGGTAAACTTAAACGGCTTTGGGATGAGCTGGCTTGTGTGGTACCTCCTCAAAATTGCAACTGTGAGAAAGGGAAATTAGCGGTTCAGAATGAACTGGAGACAAAGCTCATACAATTCCTCATGGGACTCAATGATGGATATGACAACTTAAGGAACCAAATCATGTTAATGGAACCTTTGCCCACTGTGAACAAAGCATACTCCATGGTTTTAAGCGCTGAGCGGCAAAGAAATGTACAGAACTTTTATGGAGAAGCAGGAGCTATGATGGCCAAGACAGGTGGAGGAGGAAGAGGACAATGCCGAGGTAATTCCACCGGCAAATTTGGTACTAATGGGGGCCCATGGCACAATATGAGAGGTAGGGGAGGTCCTCGAATGAGCAAAGAAGGCAAAGCTAAACTGTATTGTGATAAATGTGGTATGCATGGCCATACAATTACCACATGCTTCAAAACACATGGTATACCAGATTGGTATAAGGAATATAAGGAGAAAAATGGGAAGGTCTTTGAAAATAATGCTGAAACACACACAACTGCAGATCCTCAAAACCAGCAAGCTTTCTTAAAGGCAGACATTAAGGATAATGACCTTGCCTCTGTGATCAGACAACTGAATGAATTAACCAGCTATATCAAAGGGAAGGAAAATGTACATCACAAAATGGATTATGCTCAATTTGCAAACTATGCAGGCAATGAGGAGGAAGAAGGGGTTCACTTTGCTTTATCAGCCACTAAAGGTGCCCATTCTGATAACTGGATTATAGATACTGGTGCTAGTAGGCATATTTGTGTCAACAAAAGTATGATGAAGAACTTGAAGCAGTTAGTATCTCCAGTCAGCATTTGTTTACCCGACGGTACACTCAAAACTGTTGATAGTGGAGGAGATGTGGTCATTAATGCAGAGATAATTCTGACAAATGTGCTATATATGCCTTCATTTAAATATAACTTGCTGTCAGTCATGCAACTATGTGCCAACAGCAATCTCATTTGGACTTTTATTGGGACTTATTGTTATCTCCAAGATCAACTGCATGAGATAGTGTTGGGATATGGAGAATTGGTTGGGAATCTCTATGTTTGGAAAAACAGATTTGAAGGACAAGGGACTTGTAACCTCAGTATTGAGTCTTGGCACAGAAACTTGGGACACACCTCCTTTTCAGCGCTCAAGCACTTGGATTTTTTGAAAGGCCATTGTAATAAGGTTGGTGAAGAGTTATTGCACAAGTGTGCTATTTGTCAGAAAGCCAAACAACACAGACAACCTCTTGGAAACAGCAGCATTCAAACTACTCATTGTTTTGAATTACTTCATGTTGATATCTGGGGGCCATGTAAAGATGAACGGTTGATTGATACACCATATTTCCTCACACTAGTGGATGATTTTAGCAGAGGGACTTGGGTTTTTCTTATGGGGCATAAAGGAGAAACACAGAAATTCTTGAGATCCTTTGTGGCCATGGCTGAGACTCAATATGGTTGTATTGTTCAAAGGATACGCTCAGACAATGGCAAGGAATTTTTGGGGACTGACATCCAAAATTTTATCAAGGAGAAGGGTATTCTCCATGAAACCGCATGTGTATATACACCACAGCAGAATGGAGTGGTCGAGAGAAAACATAGGCATTTGTTGGATATGGCACGAGCTTTGATATTTCAAGCGGGTATGCCTGTTAAATTTTGGCCTTTTGCAGTTCTTACAGCAGCCTTTGTCATCAATAGAATCCCTAGTTCAGTTTTGGCCTGGGCAACACCTTTTGAGATACTCAACAACAAGAAGGCTGACTATGGTGTGCTCAAACCATTTGGTTGCCTATGTTATGCAGCCAATACTTTGCCTAATAAATCTAAATTTGAAAGGAGAGGCATCAGATGTGCTTTTCTTGGGTATGTGGCAGGCAAGAAAGGGTATAGATTATATGACATGGACACAGGTGACATATTTGTGGGCCGAGATGTCACCTTCTTTGATGATAATTTTCCATTTGCCTCTCAACCTAATAACCGCAGTTACACTATTCCCTTACCAGTGGAGGATGACACTTACCAAGTCTTACCACCACCAGTGGAGGACAACAGCACTCAGGCTATACCCAACTACAATCAGGATATACCCTCCACCTCAACTATTGATTCTCCTGCTTCTACTGATGATATCACTATTCCACACACTTCTGAT